TGCACTGACAGGATTCCAGCTGATTTCTCCAAATGCTTACAAGACTTTGGACTCTTTCTATAAGTAGGATGGAATATTTTTCCCTTGAGTTCAAAGGGTAATCTTCATCTCATTTACCTCATAAAGAATGTGTAACAAGAATCAGAGAAGGAAAGAAAATACTAGAGGAGTTGCAGTACCAATGCACCCTGGTTTTCTTTTATGTCTGACTTTGCTTCATGAAGCCCTTACTGTTTTGGGCTACTCAGTAAAACCTGGAGAAAAGAGATTCAGCAACACAATCTCAGTTTATGAGATGGTGGGGAATTGGATTAGGAGAGACTGGGGGTGCAGACAATGCTCCCTCTCAGGCAGCTGCTGAAAGAGTCATTCCTGCCCCACCTTGCAGCTCCTGGAGCAAGCACTGGTGATCGAGGAACAGTTGCGGCGAGCTGCCTATCTGAACATGTCCGAAGATCCATCTCACCCATCCATGGCTCTGAACACACGTTTTGCAGAGGTGGAATGCCTGGCTGAGAGCCACCAGCACCTATCCAAGGAGTCAATGGCTGGGAATAAACCAGCCAATGCTGTGCTGCACAAAGGTAATGCGGTGTGTTAAACAAGGGTGGGATAGGTGTTCAGCTGTGCTGTCCCCTCTGGGGTGTCCTTTTCCCGTCCGAACAGATGTCCCTTTCTCTTGTAGTTCTGAAGCAGCTGGAGGAGCTTTTGAGTGACATGAAGGCAGATGTGACTCGCCTGCCTGCCACGATTGCCCGCATCCCACCTGTGGCAGTGCGCCTTCAGATGTCAGAGCGCAACATCCTCAGCCGCCTGGCCAACCGCAGCAGCGAGCCCCCGCCACCGCCCCCTCCCCAACAAGTACGTACCCTCTCTGGTCAGTAAGGGAGTTCTGGGGAGAGGTGGCCTCCGTGGGCCAGGCTGGGCTCTGGTGACCAGCCCGTGAGCCTCAGGTCCTCCTCTGTTGCCCTACAGGTGGCCCAGCAGCAGTGAGTTCCTGGCCCAGTGCTGTTGACCTTTCGGCCAAGCTGAAGTGACCCCCCCTAGCCCACCCCTCCACACTCTACCCCTCTGCCTGACATTCCTGACTGGGTGCTGTTTCCCTCCATGGAAGCTGCTGCTCAGGTCTCTGGAAGGAGAAGAAACTCCTTCCTCTGCAGCCAGCCCGTTGGAGCAAGGAGTGTGTTTAGGAGAGAGGGGGATGGATGTATGATGGACTCTGTATATAGTGACTGGAGGCCCCAGCGCCATGTCTGTTACATGGAGAACCTGGCTGCATTGCTCGTTGCCTCCACCTGGAATTCCAGTTTTCGTTCTTAATTTTATTTTGAGTTTGTTTACTGAGACAAGTGCGTAGGCAAGACCAAGCAAAAGCCAGGACAGAGACAAAGCTACCTCCATCAAAATCCTTTTTAATACAAAAACTGACCGGACTTGTCAACTAATAAGCAGCTTGAAGACAGAAGCAAACAACAGTGAAAAACCAACAAAAAACAGAGCAAAACATTGATAAAACTGAAAAATAAAGTTTCCTTGTATTTTACTTTGTTGTCTCTATTATCATGAGTGTACTGGGGGTAAGTATGTGGTCTCAGTATTGAAAGAAGAGGTAGTCATGTCTTTCTGCTGTATCAGAGCAGCTTTTGGGGTATCCTCTGAGAAGGGCAGTAGATACCCTAGCCCCAGCAGTGTTTAAGTATTGGGCTAGATGAGCCTTAAACCTCTTCACCCTCACCTTAACAGTCTCTGTTTCCATAACTCCTTTTCCCCTTACCTCTGCACCACATCTTTCTCTGCTGTCTGCCTTACCTGCTGTCCCGGCTGCGGGACGCGCCTGTGAGTGCGTGCGGCAGGAGCGCCGTTCCCGGGGGCTCCCGGTGCCGCACTCTCGCTGTGGGGCCCGCGGCGGGGCGGGCCTGCGGCCCCGCGCATCCGGCTG